TGTAGCACTACTCAGAGTGATAGTTAACAACTTGTAATTTCAAATGATGAATTTGGAAAAAATTATCCAATATGCGATTTGTTGGTTTATAGGTTACTTTCCATCCGATTCACAAGAGCATCACTACTAATCCACGTTAATTTTGATTTTGTGTTCAAACAATTACCTGAGTTTTCTGTTTACAAGTTCGATAGACAAACTCAACCGGGCTCATGCCATGTGATGATATGGCAAAGAGAGTGATTGAACTTGGGATGGTTTTTTATGCAGTTGAAGATGATTTGAGTATATATTCCAAAAATCCAAAATCCAAAATCCAAATTCCGTCAATTCCAGCCATCTCCATCATTCAGTATGTATAAGATATCTTCGTCAATTCTAAATTCCAAAGCAGGCTAATGTCTAGGGTGACTACAAACACAAAACATAAAGCATAGAAGAAAGAGATAGATGCGGGGATAATACCAAAATGACTATTGTATTAACTTATGTTTAAGGAGAATAATAACCAATTCGAATGTCATACGCGGGGATAATACCAAAATACTATAGTATTAACTTCATTCCTAATATTGTATACCTTATTAATTATGTCAATCTTTATACTTGCGGGGAGATTTTTAACAAACATAAAACATATCAATATATTTAAACTATATATTTCTAACAAATGGGTGTGATTAAAGATACAGGGTATGAACTATCTTATACAATTTGATTTATGTATTTTTGAAAAATGAATGGGTAAAAAAACATATTATGTTTTAATTCGATGATAACATATTAATGAATCACTTGCCTGCACATGCGCGCGGGTAACACCTAGTTACCATTGGTTGCTTAAATATAATTCTAATTTTTGATGCATCTCTTACTACTTTTGCTACAATGCTTCCTTTTGCTATACTTAAATAGTATTTTGTGAAGTTTGCTTATGTGTCAACTCCACATTTATTTTCACCAAATAATTATGACATGTCCAAACAATTATTTTGACATGGCAAATTCTTTCTTAAAAACAATAAGCCCATTACATATTGAATAATTATCCAAACTAACCCAAACATGATTGTTACGTATTAAGTACTTTTAGCCCATAAAAAACAAAAATGGCTATACATACATTTAAAAGAAAACCAATTTAGCCATGTTAATAATAATTATACCTAGTTACATTACATGTCTCACCATATATATATAGAAATTAGAGACTCTACACGGCGGTTTCTAATAAAAACATCGTTATTGAAATGGTTTTCTTTTATGGATATAATATTTTGATCAAAATAATTCTAAATATATAGGATATTGTTAACCTAAATCCCAAAGTTTAAATTATAAACCTTTGAAAAGCAGTTTTGTATTTGAGGTGTATTTAGAAGTTGGTATTTTAGCAACAAATTTTAAAAGTGTTGTATTTTGAGGATTTTCTCATTGTT